GGGGAGAACATGCAAACTCCACGCAGAAAGATCCCAGGTGTCCTCACCGAGATGTGAACCGGCGACCTTCTAGTTGCGAGGCGACAGTGTTAACCGCTGATGCATCTTGCAGCCCAGAAATAAACATTTTTAGTCCAAATGTTTCCAAAAGTAACTTGACTACAGTTTATATTCTCTACAGTCACGATAAAGAGTTTAGAGAAACAAAAATTTGCACAAACAAATTGGCATAGACAGTTCTTATTAATGAACAACAACACGTACCTTACTGAGCATGTCCGGAGGGATGTCGTCCATTTCAGGCTGATTTTAGGCTTCTTGGAAATCTGACTGCTGTTGTTGGCGTTTGCGGAAATGTTGCTCACCTGGACAGAAGAGATTAATGGGTCAGTTCAATGCAGAAATGCAACCAGGACATAAAATAGAGTGTAATAAAACCTCTGTACAAGAAGTTCTTGTGAGAAAGAGGAAGAGGAACTAGCAGTGGCGGTTCTAGACACATTTTACTTGGGGGGGCCAAGGTGGGGCCAGCATTTTATCAACAACGACAACGATATTTAAGCACTAAAATCTTTTATTTACTTTATATTCAAATAAAACCAATTTTTTTTTTTTTTTTTTTTTTTTTTTTACAAAAAACACATCAACTGAACCAATGAGATCATCAGAGCAGGTGTTGAAATGTGTAACATCAGTGGTTTGGTTTCCTGCCATTCAAAATCCACCATCACTACAGCAACAGGGTACGGCTGCTGCTGTCTGGCAAACTGGTCCTGAAACATGTTGGGATCCAAGGCCTTGGCCCTTCTGGATTCTATACTCAGGACACCAAGATCACTGAGTCCATCATCACAAATGGTGGACTGCAGGAATGTTTTTATCAGTTTCAGAGTGGAGAAACTGCGTTAGGAAGAGGCAGAGCTTCCTGGAAGAGTGACTCCTCTCTCACAGAACACATAAACCAAAGGGCGCTGCATCAGGCATTTATAGGAAGGGGGGCTAGAAGTAGGGGAACAGCAAAGGCTCCACACAACACCTGAGAGGGGTAACTTTGTGTAATTATCACAATAAACATAAAAACAATAAAGCAAGAGATATAGTGTATGTTATATATATTACTAATACAACAATACATATATATTTAACCCACAACCACTGCTGCACCACTGACCCTGTTACACATACATCTCATTTAACGAGTAACGTTAACCGTCCATACTTAGCACCAAGGAATACCGTTAATTACTTACGACTGAGAAAAGGAGCCTAAATTCCTAAAAGCTTCATCTTCAACCACAGGTGGAGGTTGTAGGTGCTTTACAATCATTTCAGGAAGGCTCCTTGTGATATTCATAGCTCTTCACCAAGGTGAAATACCATAAAATAACTCTATAACCTGTCTGTATGTAGCATAAATATCAGAATCAGACAGTCAGACAGGGCTCTTTCTCCGCCAAAACGTTATGCATGAACATCACAACACTAGCTTGTAATGTCTGAGGTATATATCTTTATATAGGTACAGATAAACAGATTTATTCGAGCGCCTGTCGAATACGTTAAGCACTGTATGTTCATAGCATATACATCGCATCATGAAGTGCTTTAATTTGCACTCAGCTCTCAACGTTTTACCATTTTGAACAGGAATAAGGAATTTCAAACTGAATTCACTTTTTTTTTTTTTAACCCAGGCCTGAGTCACTGGGCTTCTCTGAGAAGTCAGAAATTAATCAAGCACGAAAACAAAATTTTATGTCCAAGAATGCAAGTAAATAACTATAACTTGACATCTTAATCAAGAAATAATAATGTGTTTTACGATTTTGTTCAGTTTTTTGTTTGTTTGTTTGTTTGTTTTAACAGTTAATGTGAAAATTCACGGACAACAACAATAATTATATTTTAGCGTTGACCCGATTCAGGACTTTTGGGCTCTTTTGGACCCCAGGCCATTTGGTTTAGGTGTATTGTTTGTATTATTTTTGAAGATTTTGTTTTTTAAATATAAAAAGAGGGACATTTGTCATGCAATTGGAGCCAAAAATATGTCAACTTATCAGAAAATGTATTTAACATAGTATAAAAGTCTATAATGAATACCAACAATTATTTTCTTTCCAAGAAAGACCTTCTACGTATGGCANGTCCAACCCACGGTTGACACGGATACGGTTGGCGATGGTTGCCAGGGCAGCAGCACAGAGACGGGCAGAGCGTGAGGAGATGGTATCACAGACTAGACGCACCACACAGGCGTCGACTGGATCCCAATTCAGACCCAATGCCGTCAGAATCTTCTGGGCGTTTTCCAGACCGCTGTCTGGCCTGAACCACGAGGAACATGGAGGAAAAACTTAGTCATCACTAAGACTTCCGGTCAAATAATTATAATTAACAGTGACACAAGACAAGGCCACTCACTCTTCGATCTCAGAGATAAACTTTGTCTCAAATTGTCCCGGAGTCATGAGCGCCTCGGACGTTTGTCCTCTAAACAGCAGGTTGTCCTCCGTCAGCTTCACCAGCACCAGCCGAACAATTTCTCCCAGATACATACCGCTGATCATTTTCTCAAAACTGCAGAAGGAGACAAATGTTAAGGACAGAACAGATGCAAAATTATCCAGAACACAGTAACTGGCATCTTGAGGAGTCACGAGCTTTCCCATCGATAGTCATCAGCATCGCTACAGTAGACACTTACATTTCTAGCATACGGACCAGCTAGGACTTTCTAGGCTATCCACTAGCATCCTAGTCAGTAGCATAAATCGACTAGCAACTAGTATTTCTAGTCTAGAATCCTTAAGCTAGCAACTAGTTTTTCTAGGCTATTGACTAGCAATGGTACATAGTCACTAGCATTCCCCTTGGTAATTACAAGCACTCCTAGGGTAGTCCCTGGCATTTCCATTGGATTTCGCATCACTAGCATTGCTAGGTGCGTCACTTGCACTCTTATGATATGGACTAGCATCTCTATACTAGCAACTCGCATTGCTGAGCTCGTCACTAGTATTCCTGAACTATTTACTAACATCTCTAAACTAGTCAATCTTATTCTTGGCTATCCACCAACACTTCTTGGCTGGTCCCTCACATCCCCAGGCTTGTGACTATCATCCTTTGGCTAGCAACAGCCATTCCCAGTCTAGAATCATTAAGTTGGCAACTAGCTTTCATAGCCAACTGGCTAACAATGCTGTTTAATCACTGGCATTCCCCTTGGTAGTTACAAGCAGTCCCTAGCATTCCCAGTTTCCATTAGCATCCCTAGACTAGCTACTAGCATCCCTAGACTAGCGACTAGCATCCCCTTGATCATCCTACGTACGTGTGGACGCCGGGGTTGATGGACGTCTGGTCCACCACCTCGTCGAACTCCGTCAGGATGTCTTTCAGGGAGCCATCATCTCCAAAGCCGCCCCACTCTGTGTTGATGCACATCCGGCCGTCCTCGCCCTCCACTCGCTTCACGTTCTTCATCTCCTCCATGTAGCAGGCGTTGGTTCCCGTCCCTGCAGAGGAAGAGGAGCAGCTTAAATAAACCTATACGTGGACGGTTGTTTAGGCCATCGCAACAGTGTAGTTTGTGGCTTTTTCCGTCATTCTTTGAGGTCGTTTTGCATTTGTTTGTGGTCGTTTTCTGCCTCTTTTCGGTCATTTTGTGTCCCTTTGTGGTTGTGTTGTCTTTTTTGTCAATTTGCGTCTCTTTGCGGTGGTTTTGCATCTATTTTCTTTCATTTTGTGTCTGTTTGTGGTTGTTTTATGTTTGTTGGCCGATACTTTGTGTCTCTCTGTGGTCGTTTGGTGACTTTTTTGTTCATTTGTGTCGGTTTGTGGTGGTTTTACGTCATTTTGCGTCTCTCTACAGTGTCACATGAGGTCGATTTAAATGTCTTTGTTGTCGGCTTTACTTAAACCCATAAAACAAATGCAGATATCTTCTTCACATCCGGACACACAGAAACAGTCGGGCTGAAGTCAGGCCTCGTGCATTCAGATGTGTGGTTACCGATGATCATGCCGATCTCACAGCTCTGGTCCCTGTAGCCACAGCTCATCATCGTGCCCACCGTGTCGTTNCACCCGCACTATCACGAGCACGAGTCGTCACACGTCTACATGCTGGTGTATCAACCATTACAGAAAATGACTTTGGTACTAACCAATGCTGTTAGTTTAGGGCATAAACCTGACATTGATTGGTGGTCTAACAAACTTGTTAAGCTCTGTACATATTTTTCAGCTCCAGTAAAATTATTAATTTAGATTTATTTCAACTGGCTGAATATATTACACGACTGCCTGAGTCGTCTGTATTTAATCAGTCTGCCAAAATTACAACCACAAGTACCTTGTCTGTCTTCAGCTTGCAGTTCATTGTTGTGCAGCTGTAATTTAACACCAAATGCCTCGTCTTCTCTGCCAGCAGCGCCCAGTGGAACATTTTTATTGCTCAAAGTTTGCTCTTTCACAGCTCACGAGACAAAACTGAGATTCTCATTTCAGCCTCATGTTAGTTTCCATTTTGTCTCATCTGTTTGTCATTTGTTTCTCCTCAGAACACACCTGTCCAAATGGTGAACGCTGGAAAGATTACACAATGCCTACCTTGCATCACGTAAAGCGGATCGCTGAAGCCACCGAGTTCTTGACCAGAATGACGAGCGACGGTTCTTATCTAACTGAACAGTGTGCCAATGATTGGGGCCTCCTTCGGTCTACGTCTTGAAGCTCATGATAAGACTCTTATGGAACAGCCGCTTGGTCAGAGAATATTTATTATTGTTGCATATGATAGAGCTCAAGTAGGGAAAACTGTTTACACTTCAAAGCAGTATGTCAAAGCCAAACGAAGGAACAATGACACGGTGTTACGCCGTCATGGTATGCAGACGAAATATGGCCAGATTGAATTCTTGCCTTCCTACAAAAAAAACCCAAAAAAACCAAAGTGTGAATGTCAAAATAAGGTCACATTTGTGAATGAATTCTCTGTTGCAGACATAAATCCTCCACAGGACACTCTGACAGGTGGGACTTGTTTTCATATTGTGAGCCTGCTGGAAGTTCCTGTGAGAAGTCGTTGCACTTGAAAGTATTTTAGGAAAGTCGATGTCTATTGATTTGTACTCGATGCCCGCTGTTGTGTTTGTTGCACATTTCCCTCATGGACTTGAAAGGGACTGAAGTACATTTTGAAATCAAAGAAGGGATCATGTTCTGAACACAGGAGTGCATCATTTGTGCAGCTGGTTCACATTTTTTTTTATTGTACACTCAAAGTCTAGCAAATACTGGTGATCTCACAGCGAGCTTTTCATATGTCTGTTGGTCACATAGAAATGTCCCTTTTGCACTGCATTAGATGATTTAGACCATTAAAGAGTCAGTTCTGAGATTATGGAAGGTTTTCCTTGATATATCTGAAAATGACAAAAAATTACCTGAAGTTGGAAGATCTTTGCTTTTTGATGATAGAGTCCAACTATTTGGTCATTAAGTTTTTTGTTGGTTTTTTTTTGTGATGGAAGCATACAAAGCCCATTAAAGTAAGTTTGTATTTGATTCTCTGTGTACGTGTTAATTTATCACATTTATGTTCAACATTAAAATTCCAATTACCCCTAACAAATCCCTCACAATAAGTTTGGGATATTGTTATTTACATGAGTGCTTTTCCTATTTGGTTTGAATTTTAATGAAATAAGTAAAAGTTCCCTTTGATATTACTAATAATGAGAAGAAACACCATATTCATTAGTTTAATATTTATTACCCCCATAATTTAAACAATAACAAAAATTGACAATGTCAGTAAGCGGGTGTTTCCACCATTTGCCGCAGTGACAGCTTGACAGCGACGTCTCGTGCTCCTCACTGGCCTCATGATGTTGTTCTGAGGCAATGCGTTCCACTCTTCCACAAGTGCTACACGCAGTTCTGCCAGGCCACGTGGGGGTGGAGTACGGTCATCCAGTCTCTGCTTCAGCTGGTCCCAGACCTGCTCTATGGGGTTCAGGTCAGGGGACATTGCTGGCCATACCATATGAG